ATTTTCCAGCATGTTGATGGAAAAAAAACTCCTACCAAATAGTTATTTTTTAGCACAAAAAAATGCACTAGAAAAACTTATTAATATTTTTTGGCCTCAATGTTGGAAATAATTGTTAATGACAAACTAATAATGTGTTTTAAGTTGTCATTATCACTTATTTTCAAGTGTTCAACACTGAAAAATAATTGATACATTAGTGGGATAGCCATTATTTTCTAGTGCTGAGCACTAAAAAATAGTTGATACTTTTAAAGGATAACCATAATTTTCTAATGCTCAATGCTGGACAACAATATCCAAAATATTTTTAAAAAAATCATTTTTACATTACTATAATTATATTTAATTAATAAATATTTACAAATATAAAATAATATGTAATAAAAATAAATTTAAACTTAAAATAATATTATATATTAATCAAGATTATATAAAAAAAAGATTATATATATATAAATCTAAAACACATACTAAATAAACATACAACACATATAAAAATTAAAATTAAAGAAATTAAATACATAAATGTTAATAATAAAACACCACTTTATAATCTATTAAAATTAATTATACATAAAAAATTATATTGAACATATTTACTTTATAAATACAATTTTATATAAAACATTACATAATACATATAATTTAATAAATATTTCCAAATAAAGGAAATTAAATACATAAATATACCTCAATTCCATGTAATTCATAAAAATACCTAAAATAAATAAAAAAAATTAATTATTAATATATACAAGAGTTTATTGATAAAGAAAAATATAAAGAAAATTGAAAATTAAACAACCAATAAATTGAAATGAATAGTATCTCTTATTTCAAGTAACATATTAAAGGAAGAGGAAGAGGAAGAGGAAGAGGAAAAGAAAGAGGAAACAGAGAGAAGAGGAAAGGGAAAATTAAGATAAGAAAGTGAAATATATGAGTGGAGTAAAAGGAAGAGAAGAGAAAAAAGAAAGTTAATTCGGATAAGGGATGAGAAAAATGAAAGAGAAGAAAGAAGAAAATGGGAGAAAATGTTGAGGAAAGGAAGGTTGGAGGTTTATATAGATATATATTATTTTCCATAACTTAGTACTAGAAAATAAAGTAGGCGTGATTTTGAAAATTTTACAAGGAAAAATGGCGCTTAAATGTTAGATTTCAAACTTTAAATAAAATTATTTTCTAGCACTAATATAGGCGAGATTTTGAACTTTTAAAAGAAAAGATACTTGAATATATATATATATATTGCTCTTAAACTTCTTAATAAACTTAAGTGTTGAAAAATAACTTAAACCAATTAAACATGAATATTTTGATAATCATATCTATAGTAGGATAGTTAATAATTAATTTGAAATTATAGACAAGGGATTTGTTTTGATTTAATCGCAAAAAGAAAAGAATTTTAACATGTATGTTGAAGAAAATATATATGGTCTCTTTCATATTACATAAGATAAAATAAACGTATCTAGATTTCAAGGCTCTAAATGAAACATATTTTACCAGTTGACCTAATAGATGGGGATGACAATAAATGGCGATGAGCTTGAATTTGTAGTAAAATTAAGAACCCTTACTCAAAATGTATTTTTATGGGGTTTGTGATCTCCATTAAGTATGTTATTCAATGTGGATCTCTTTTTATTACTAAAGAAATTACCTCCTATTGTAAGACAGTAAGTCTTTTTTTTTTGAACTTGTCGTGACCACCATTAATTATATGGAATTAATGGCCTGTAGCTTCTCATTA